TGGTATTGTAGGTGGAGCACTGCACTGTTCTGGACAGTAACAGTTATAACCTTGTTAATGAAATAAAGATAACAGACATCTTAACATAAAATTAAAGAATAACTTATTATAAATTATTTTAACCTTGAATATTTTGAATTTCATAAACGTTATGTATAGATTTTTATATATATTTTTTGGCAGATTCCGATTTTCCAACTGTGACTTGCCAATACTGATTGTTACTGATCGGCTGCAAGAGCAATCACTGGTCGGTCTATCAGAGCATCTCTTATGAAAACAGCCATATAAAGCTAAAACTTTACATTTGTGAACAACACATTTATGATATTAATCATGAGTTTCACTTGGTGAATTACTTAAGGTTTCCTTTCAAACTGCTTCCAATTTGTGCTAAACTAATTTGGCTCTTGAAGCAGTGGTTTTATAAGCAGTGGTTTTATAGTCTCATACATATGAGAATATTATCAAGGAACCAAAACTCTTTCAACGTTAAAGGCAGTGCATCAGACTGACTTTCTTCTGCATCAATCCTTGTCATAAGTAAAGATACTACAAACACCTTTAGCAGGTAGGACAGTGTGTGTGAAAGTGCTTGTGGGCTCTGGCCCTGACAGGAGCCCTTTGTTTTGACTGAGTCTCGTTTCAGCTCTGTGGGATTTCCTCCAACGTCCCATTGCTGCGATTGAACCAGGAGCTGGTAAAGAGAGAGCAGTCTAACAAGCTCACGTCTTGTCCCGCACCAATCTTTCACTCAAGCCTTAAGAAAATGGCACTTTCCACTGGGACAGGCCAGGTTTGGAGCTGACTTCAGACATAGATTGTGGTGAGCCTGTTGGCAATTTCAGCCAATCAGTGCTCAGCGCCTCTTCTCCTTCTTCCCTGCTGCAGCTGGGAGCAGTGGGAGTTACGGGCTATGATTGCTGGCCCCAGACAAAGCTGAGGTGAGTTTAGACTCGCTGCTTTGGACTCACTCACCAGGAGCTCTGTTTTTACAAGCCTCCAAACGTGACAGGAAATGGGCCGCAAATGAGCTATGATGTTCTTTATCATAGCACACAGTAGATTTTCTGCTTTCCCGGGACAAATAGATCACTCCTCTATCCTTAAAATATTAGGCCACTATAAAACAGACATATAATTAGGCTGTATAAATCAACAAAAATGGGAAGCTGCTGCAGCTATCCAATATCGAATGTAGTTTTATGGTCTGAAGCTGTACAGTCACTATTCACACACTAGTTACCCTCACCCAGTGGATTAAAGTCAGCTGTAAACAAAATTATAATAATGAACAATTTTTATTAAAATATAAACTCTATTTTTCTTAAAGTAAGCAAGGTTTTTTGCGGAGACTTTACTTGAACATGAAACAAGAATTTCAAGCATATAAATATATAAGACGCCATATATTTTTTGATTAGCGATCACACCTGTTATCGCTATAGCCATATAGAGCAGTAGCCTTGTTGCTGTTGAGTCTGTTTGCTCCAAATTTCAATAATATCCATTTCCAAAGTGAAACCAAAGAGACCATTACTAAATATCCTGCGTCTCAGTTACATATATTTTGGATTACTGTTAACCACAGGCTAGATTAAAGTAGGGTGGAATTCAAAAATAATTACAGTAAATTTTTTGTTGAATACAGTATAAACAGTACATTTTCACAGTGAAATGAACAGATATACCTGGGACGTTTTAACCTGGGTGAACCCACTAAAAAGATGATTAATGGTATTCGCTTTGCTGATGGTTGTTCAGCCCTGGGGTATTTTTTCACTCCTGTTTCACCCATGTGTGAACTGTAATATCATGAACACAGGAAACAAAGTGAGTCACAGGAAAGAGCAAATAACACCTCGGAGCTCAGTCACAGTGTTTCAGCTGTCATTGTTTTGTATCTTTTACCGTGGTGTCTCTTTAGAATGGCAGGAAAAGTGAACTGTTTTTAGAGCGATACAGGATGATGAAGGATGGAATTTGTAAAAGAAGCAATCGCAGAAGAGACTAATGTTCATTGACTCGGTGGTTGCTACTATTGATAGCTGTAATATGACCAGACAGTGTCTTTGGGTCAGCGATTGATTTGAGTCAATCAAAGAACATTTTTTACCATGAATAATGAAAAGCACATTTTTACAGCAACAGCAATTTTTAATCTTTAATTGTTTTTTTAACTCTAACACTAAAACATTTAAATTAATGTTTATATATATATACTGTATATATATATATGGCAAGAGTGGGAAACTTAATTTAAAGCATGTAAGATTAGCTAAGTGAACATCCCACACAAATAGGAAAAGTTAGCAACAAATATAGCAAAACAATAATACAGGTTGGCCCAAAATAAGCTTAGCATAAAGAGTTCTTGAAAAAACAACAAACAGACAAAGGTGAGCAGAAACTAATGAAGCTACTGTAATTAAATGTTAGCCATAAGATTATATTTAACACATGAACTGGGGAAATCATCCAAAATTTAATTCGATATTTTGTGAAATACATTTAGTTGTAGTTGTTTGTTACTTCATGAAACTTTAAGAATACATTTTCTTTTGCTGCCATTTGCTGTAAGTTAATCTCGTTTTAAAACACATTCACACACAGTCAAAAACCTCTTC